GTAAGAAAGATGGACAGGGGTCCATCATCCAATGGCTCTTAGGCCAAGGCATGAGTTTGATTTTATTTTAAGGATAAGATATTTTAGCAGATGATCAAGTCAATGCAGGCATATGATATATATCTATCTATATTTATATGTATATTTGTATCTATATACATACTTATGCATAGGTGAAATATAATTTGTTCTTAAAATAATAGAAAAGATACATTTAATAAAAATATATTTACCATTTCCTTTTTAATTTTTAGAGAAATTACTATTTAGAACCAGATTAAAAGAAATAAAAGTTCTTATGAATACCTCAGGAAATACCTTGGCTGAAAATCTCAAAGGTTAAGAATCTTTACTTAATGTCTGACATCCTATGCTTGGGAGAACCTTAACACAGTTTCTAGGTATTGCTTTTGCCCTCTTTAGTCATGTCAGGGTCTTTACCAATTATGTTCTGCTTCAGAGAGTTCAGTTGTCACCTTAAGCCCTTATCACCTTTTGTCCCCAATTTTGGCCTCAGCCTTTTGTCCCCAATTTTGGCCTCAGCCTTGACTCTTTGTAAAGAAGGCAACTTCCATTTATAAGCATGGCTATACTAAATACCTTGGGTGTTGTTTTTCTCTTAGCTAGCACCAGAAGAATCGCAGAACAAGATAGCTCATTTAAAGCATTTTCCTCATGGTTGTCCTGTTCTCCCATTCAGGAAAAAGATTATTGGTTACCATGGCAATCAGCTTCCACAGCATTCCATTACAAGTAACCGCACAGGTATAGCACAAGCTTTTACTCAACATTCTTTACTGTAGCTCTCTGCAGATCTGCATATTTTTTCCAGCCTGTTCTCTGTAACTGCTGTTTAGAACAAGCAACCTAAAGTTAAGCCAGGTAATTTTTTCAAAGACACCATATCCCCATCTATTCTAAACATTTTAAAAATTCACATATATAGTTGTACAATGATTTTCTCATAGCACCAACCAAAAACTTTCTGGTATGCTCTTTAATAAGTCTGGGATTATTTGCGTCTCTGTAACCATTTTTAGAAAACAAATAATGAATTTACAGTAAAATATCAGAGCAAAAGGTAGTTTTATGAGAGTATCTCCCACGTGTTCTAAATCATATCTTTACTGAGGCTAAATCTCTAACTTGCCTCCCTCCATCATTCCCAAACCCTCTGATAAAACAATGCACAAACCCAGATGAGTACAAATTTTCCTCAACTCACCACGCTGGAGAGGCTAAGCCATTATATCCTTGAAACCATTAACTACCCTGGTTTGACCCAGAACATTATTAATAATAAAATAGAGCTTTGAACAAGCCAAACACATTTTACTGCCACCCAATGTCTGTTATATTGTGGAGGAGGTGGGATGACTTTGGACAACCAACTGGATGAACTCTGTTTCCCTACAAGTTTTTCATTCTTTTTTATTATTGTTATTAGTACATCTAGTCTTTGCTGGTTATGCGGTTTCTTCCTAACTAAGTGGCATAAACCATGAATCTTGAGACTTCTGTTGTATGCTGAAATATCTTTTAATTTATTATTTCTACTATGAGTTTATTCAAAGCAATAGCGGTATTCTGGTAATTAAAAAAAAAGAGAACTTGAAAGGGAGTTGCTATTACCTAATGTTAAGCAATCGAAAATAAAATCTGGCTTTAACCTCTTTCTTGCAAATTCTTTCTATCACCTAGATGTCTTTTCATTGAAAAAGGCCTATCTCACAGCCAATCTATGAACACCCCATTGAACACTGCCATCTCCTATTAAGGGCATGGAAGCAAATTCTGTAACTAAAACAGATGCCTTCGCCCACAGGTTCTAAAATCAGAGGGTATTCATAAACCTCTCCACAAATTTTCAGAGTGTAGTGGGAAACAGGAACTGTTAGAAATCTGAAACTCTACTAAAGTACTTTTTACCCCTTCCGGGAAAAGAAAATATATTACTTTCTAGGAAGCTCAATACTTTAAAAAACATACAAAGCAATCTGGGCTGGAAATTCATGGTTAGCATTTGGGTTACATCAGCCTCGTTTTAGATGATATTTACTTAAAATTTTTTTTAATGTTTATTCATTTTTGAGGGAGAAAGAGAGAGAGAGAGAGACAGAGAGAGAAGAGAGAGAAAATATGAATGGAGGAGGGCAGAGAGAGAGGGAGATGTAGAACCCGAAGCAGGCTCCAAGCTCTGAGCTGTCAGCACAGCACCCAATGAAGGCCTCAAACCCACAAGCTGCCAGATCATGACCTGAGTCGAAGTCAGGCGCTTAACTGAGTGAGCCATGAAGGCGCCTCAGACGATATTTGTTTTATTAGACGGAAAGCCATAGAATGGTTCTCTGACTCTTCTCAAAAATTGTGTTGGAATTGTTTCAAGGGAGGAGAAGAGCACTTACTTTTATATTTTTCTGATCAGATATTCCATGATACATAAAATGTTTTACCTATCCCTTTGGGTACACAGACATTTGTATACCTCAATATACTAATCTCATACCAGCTAGAAAGAAAAATTGACCAACTATTGGTAGACTTTTCTAGGTTGAGAACAGAGGCCAACATTAGATAACCACATAAACTCTGAGTAATTACATCCCGATGCACAATTAGATTTACATAGAAAAAAAGTTGCTCTCAATTTCAAGTCGACAAAAGAAGAGACCATGGTAGCTTTGAAAAGTAGAATCTCTAGTGAAAGGTCAGCATTTTAAAAGCAGGGAGGCAGCTGGCATGCTGTTTTGACAGTTGAGTAAAGATGAGGGGGAATAAGATTGGAAACTGGAGGAAGTTCTGATAAAAGGGTAGAACGAAGTGTTTGAAAATGGTAAAGTGAGAGCTTTAATCTACATGGACTAATGGAAAGAGTAGGAAAGAGAGAAAAGTGATTTAGTACAGATAGTAAATAGTTTGTGCAGAGATTTTATACAGTAATAACTTAATTTTTATTTTAATTTGCAAGTGCCAAGGGATGACATTATTTGAAGAATAACAGTTTTATTGTTTTAGCACTTTACACATAATAAGCTCCCATTTATCTGAAATATAAGTTAGTACCAGTTTCTATTAATGTGATGATATATATTAGACAAATTGGCAAGCAGGGGTTTGCTCTTGATTATCCTTTGTTATAACCTTAAAACTACTTTCAATATTTCAGATTATAAGATCATGATTTTATAATGTGAAGATAAACAGAAAGACTGGTTTAGATGCAAATTGGTCCTAACTTTTTGGCTGATGTCCTTTAATATCAAGCTTCTAACCTGATCAAGAAAACGTAAAAATAAAAACCTGGAAAACCAGTTTCCTTAACTAGGAGTCATGTGAGTAGTTTAACATTAAAACTTTTAAAAAAATACATGATAGAAATTCCTTAGAGTTTTAGCTTCTTTTATTTAAAACAAATGCATTGATATCCATTTATAGCTCTCCTAACAATCACTTTGCAGGTTGGTAATCTTATGTCCTGGCTTTTCCAGGTCACTTCAGATTTCAAATATTTTATCTGTTGTCAAATGATGTGTATGGATTTTAGTTTGGAAAACGTGGTCACTGAATTTATAGACCAACCCTGAAATAGCAATGGCCTTTGGCATTCTGCAGTTTTCTATTTCTGGGTCATGATTATCAAATTAAACCAAATCAAAGTTCATTATTCGAGTTTACCCAATAATCTAATAATAAAAGTAAGGACGTTTAAAAACTTTGTAGTAATTTGCAATTTGAAAAGCATTCGTAATATGATTTATTATAGACACAAACACACATAACTAGTAAACCTGTAAGTGGCTACTCACCCTTGTCATACAGGAAATGAAAAACAATACACTTAAGTGATACTGTAATTATATACTACATGGCCAAAGTAAAGAATACAAAAATAATCTGAACGAACTTCTATTAATACTAAAAAGAATTTGGGGGCTCCTGGGTGGCTTAGTCGGTTAAGCGTCCGACTTTCGCTTAGGTCATGATCTCGCGGTTCGTGGGTTCGAGCCCCGCGTCGGGCTCTGTGCTGACTGCCAGCTCAGAGCCTGGAGCCTGTTTCAGTCTGTGACTCCCTCTCTCTCTGACCCTCCCCTGCTCACGCTGTCTCTCTCTCTCTTTCCTAGAAATAAATAAAAATATTAAAAAAATATTAAAAAGAATTTGGTAGTCTTTCTAATTTTTAATGTCCATAGACTGGAATTCATTCTTGATAAACTGGAACCAAGAAAATATAGTGGCATTTGCTATAGCTATGACAATGATTATGAGTGAGTTTTAAAGATTGTCTCACTATCCTGTGCCAAAATGTTGCTGTTCTGCAAATGAAAACACTTAGATCATTTGACTGCCTTCCCTCCTCCAACCTAAATTACGACCCTTTATAACACTGTACGGCTTGTTCATAGTTATGCTCTTTATTCTTTTGTGACTCGGGAAACCACTAAGTGGGGGGAAAAGTTTTAAAGTCTAGTATGTTCAGAATGGCATTTAATAAGTCTTCAAAAATTAAGATGATTTTTCCCAAGTCTTGCTGGAAATCCATCTACCACCAGCGATCGGGGCTCTCCTCCCACATTTCCGTGCTAGTTGAAACTTGAGAAGCCCAGGGATGCTGCTGCGACAGGTGGGGGTGGGAGATAGGAGATCACCCGCTTGACACTTCGGCACTATTGCTACGAATGATTCACTTGTGTTTGGCACATTTGTTGCAAGGAAATCTCCTCCCGCCGCTTCCTTCTCGGAGCTCCTCTCGGGCTGTCTCCTGTGCTTTGGCCTTTAAGAAGCAGCAAGAGCAGGTGGGCACAGAGCTGCTGCTCACCGAGTCCTCCTCCCCCCGCTCCTTCCCTAATTTAGCAGGACTTCCGGCCGCGTGACATCATCCCCCGCACCAGGGTGACGAGAGCGGCGGGTGACGTGTGTGCGGAGAGGAGCGCGCTGACGTTGCTATTTAAAGGTCCTCCTGCGGGGAGGATGGAGACACAGCGCGAGCACCTGGTGTGGGGCGCGGAGGAGGCTGTGGCGGCCGGGAGCGGGGCCAGCAGACAGCGGAGGAGCAGAGCGCACGGTCCGCCCGCCGCTGGCCACTAGGGGAGGGGGGAAAGGAAGGAAGGACGGACTGACGGACCTGCCGGCCGGACTAGCTCCCACGAGGGCCGTCTCGGCCCCTGACCACCCGCCTTCCCGCCGCCCTCGCGGCTGCCGCTTCCTCTCCCGCCGCCCGCAGGGCCCCGCTGGCCCTCGGGACGGGTCCGCGTCCCAGCCCCCGACGCCTTCCCGCGGCTCAGAGGCGGCGGCCGCCTCCCGCCCCCTCCCACGAACGGGGGGAGGGACCGCTCTCGCTCCCGGTTCTCCCCGCCTCCTCCCCCGCCCTCCGCAGCCCGCTCCGCCGCCGCGCTCGGCTCACGCGGGCGGTGCTGACCCGGGAAGCAGCGCCCTCAGCTCCGCGAGCGGCCGGTGGAGGCGGAGGCAGCGGCGGGCTTCAGGCAGCCCGGGCCGGCGCTGCTCTGCCGAGCGGGAGCCGGAGGCCCGCGGAGGTGGGCGGTGATGGAAGCGTGAGGAGGCGGCGGCGGGCCGGGGGACTGTGAGGCAGCGTGTGGCGGCGGCGCGGAGCGTGAGAGGCGAGGAACGCGGGTGGGGGCGCTGGAGCAGCGGCTCTCCCGCGGCTTCGAGCCCCGCTCCCCTGCCCCCGACGCGGGATTAGCCGCCCGTCTCGGCGCGGGCGGGCGCCCGTCGACCCTTCAGCTCAGTCCAACGCCGCCGCTCGGCCCGCCCTGGCGCTGGGAGCGGGTGCCGAGGGCAGCGTGGGGCTTGGCTCTCTGATTCATTCATTCTCCGCCGCTGGCAGCCTCAGACCTGCGGTGCTCCGAAGAGAGGAGGGAAGACGGGCAGCAGCGAATGAAGGGCCGGGCGCCAGCAGGGCTCCATTGTGCTCGGCGGCGCGGGGCGGGAAGGGGCTGAGGGAGGTGGGATCGGGCCCCCTCCCCCTGCTCCCCGGCGTGCGCTGCGCCCCCAGCCTGCTGCCAGCCTGGAAATGGCTCCGTTTATTCTCTTCGGGAGAATGAATCGATCCTGCCCAGTCTTCTCTTCCTCCTCCCCACCTCCTCTCTGCTCCGAGTCTTAGGAGGGGAAACATTTAAAAGACAGATTCCAATGTGGAGTGCCGTGCCCATCGCGGGCTGTTGGGTTTGCACGTCGAGGAGATTTTTCTATATAGCTTTTTCTAACGTGAGCGCAGGGGAGCAGTGGCATGACTGCTTTTAGGATTTTTATTTTCTCGTAGGGATCTCTATAAAGTGCACGTCGCATTGGGTTACACGCTCCACCCCCAAGGGAACTGGTGTGGTGGAGAAATTTGAACCCGCAGCCTTAGTAGCACCAGAAGGCCGAGTTACCTGGCTCTCGCAGAGTGTCTGGGAGGACATGAGCGAAATGACCACCGAACTCATTTTTTGTAGGACTCGGTGAAGCTGGATTCTGCGTTTTCCGACAGACACGTAGACTCATTTTGTGGAATAGAGTTGACCGCTGTCTCCTCCGCGCAGCATTTTTAACTCTCATAAGCAAATGCCACCTCTGCTTGAACGTTTTGGTATTGACGAGAGAGAAATCCTTTTACCTAAGGGAACTAATTGAATTGTCAAGCACCACTGAAATACCTCCAGAAAAGGATCTCGGGGGGTGGAAAAGCGACTGCGAAATAGCAGACGGAGAAATTCCTTTGGAAGTTATTCTGTAGCAGAAGAGCAGAAACTTCAGAGCAAGTTCTCATTGGGCAAAATGGGGTAAGGATTTTTGTGCCTACCGTAGTTTTGCATCTGTTTTATGTATGTGTGTTGTTGAACGATGGTGGTGATTGTGTTTTATGTTTTCAGACGAACTTGCCACCTTGCTAAGCCGGTCCTACGTTAAAAATAAGGGTTTTGTTAACCTCTTCATAAGGTATTTTTTATAGAGTGACACCAGAGGTCATAGTTAGGGAACGTACATAAATAATTTGTAACCAGAATAGAATTCCGTTGGTAATATTTAAGAAGACAGCACCTTCTGCACTTTTACTGGTCAGGCGGCTGCCTCCGTTTGTAATTAAAATCCTACCATCTTGGGTTTTGTTGTCGGGGTCTTTGAGAGAGAAGTACTGCGTTCCCTCGGTACTTTGAGAATAATCAGTTGCACAAAGGAACGATTGTAAAGTAATGAGTGGTTGGACTTGAGTCCTTGAAAATGATCCAGTGTAAATGATTGCCTCCACTGTGCCCTCTGTTTTGCCCTTGAATATCCAAAGCTAACATGTAGAATTGATTCATTAGGGCATTACAATGGAAATCTGAAATTCTTACCGACGTGGTTTCCACGGTACCGGGAAAAATCTTTTTGTTGAAAGAACTTGTTCGCTTTTTCTCTTTTTTGCTCTAAAGCTCAGGTCTTCGGTTTGTGTTAAGTGTCACATCCGCACACCTTTCAGTGTTTTCCAACCTTTCATTAACTCTTCACACAGTAACTTGATAACATGCTAGTGGCTCTTTGTAATGTAAGCCAGAAATGTATTAATGGAGTAATGATGTAGTCATTTCATTGACAGATTGTCCATGATTTTTGTTAAACGGGAACTTCGAGAATTTTCTCTCTCTCTCTTTGTGGTTGAACAAACACAGCTGAAGTGTAGTTAAGAGAAGGGATTGAAAGAATAGACCCAAATGGATTGTGACGGTTTAGGGGTATGTACACCTAAACTTTATATTTTGAAACTTTGTGAGGAAAGTTCTTAGATAGTTCTACTTTTTTGTTGGAGTTAGAATTTTAAGTTTATTAACTTGGACAAGTTTTGAAATGTAGAACATAATGTTGTAGGAGTTCTTTCTTCATCAGGAATTAATGAGAGTGATAATTGTTTTTAAAACTTGAATGACAGGTGATGAGAATATATAACTTGCATGATTTGAGGTAGAGCTAAGCAATTAAAATACCTTATTCTATTTTAGTACTGCTATTTGTAACTTGGTAATCTGAGGCAAATTACTTAACCTCTGTGGACTCTTATTATCTGTAAAATGAAGGACTTAGATCTAAGTTTTGACGTTTTTCCAGTCTGTAAAAATGAATTATTTTCCTTTTCTACTCCTCTGTATGTTAATTACTAGCTGGTTTCTTGAAGTAGATCTTTCAGATGAGACATTATTCTCTCTCAGCAGTTTTTAAATATTAGCTGGAAAATAATGGCATTTAAAACTGGGATGAATTGCACCAATTTTAATAAGAGAAAATACTGAAAAACACTGCTATTTAAAACATTTGAAATATGGCTTCCTTGAGAATCGGCAGCTCTTCTGTTTAAAACATGTCAGAGCAAAAAAAAAAAAAAAATCAAGTGGCAATTTTTCATGTTGAAGGCTGCATGCTCTAGACTGTATAGAGTGGGTAGCATCATAGAAGAAAATCGGTTTTCCACAATCTTTAAGCTGAGTGAATGCTCCCCATTTTACCAAGAGAAGTTTGGGATGAACTTGCTACCAAACGGGTTGGTATTTAAACTATGAAAATAAGCCCCCTATATGGCACACGTTATTGATAATTCAGTGTAATTACATTTGCTTAGAGCGAGGAAAAGGAGTGTTTCTGGCATTAGTCTTCTGAAAATCTATGTAGGGCTATGATTCTTTCCCACGGATAGTGATCTCTTCCATCTGAGTTGTCAAGAGACGATGGACAGGTAGAAGAGAAGAGCATAGAAAAGGCATTTGTGGAAGTTTCCACACTTGGTAGGTGTGTTTGTAGAATAAGTGTAGAATAGGTACAGCCTCTTATTTAAACCAAAAGGAAATGGTGTTTTATTATTATTAAAAAAATTTTTTTTATATCTTTATTCTGAGAGAGAGAGAACGAGGGGGGTGGAGGGGCAGAGAGAGAGGGAGACACAGAATCTGAAACAGGCTCCAGACTCTGAGCTGCCTGCACAGAGCCCAATGCGGGGCTTGAACCCATGGACTGTGAGATCACCACCTGAGCCGAAGTCAGACGCTTAACTGACTGATCCTCCCAGGTGCCCCAGGAAATGGTGATTTAAGTGGCCTTTAAAGTTTTCCCCGGGCAATCCTAAATTACAATACTTTGACAACTGTATAAAATTTAATACTGTGGTGAAGAGTGTCACTTGTTACGAATATATTTTTGAATGTTAGTTTATAATAGGAATTTTTCTTTGCCTTAGTTTTGGCTATAATTGCAAGTCTAGGGCCAAAGTTTAAGCAAAAGGAATTATTTTTAGTTTTAAAGAAAATGGGTTATTAGTTGAGGCAGCAAACAAACTTGGCTCCTATAATAGTAGTTTGTGAACCACTGTGGAAATGGAAAAGAACAGCTGAATCTGGCAGTTGCTAGAGTCTGTCAAAGTATTTTGGATGCTGCCCGAACTGTTTTAATTACAGTGATAGCAGTTGAAGAATTGGTTTGTGAAATAGGTGCATCAGACACCCTAAAAATGAGAGCATTCATGTATGTAAGTCTGGAAAAAGCTTCAAAGCTCCAGTGAGGAGTGCCTGTTAGGTCCAGCCCCCGAGTCGTCCGCCCAGTAGTATCTCCTAAGGAGAGCAGTGAGTCAGTAGCTATTTCAGAACCATTAGAGGAGGCAGTAGAAATCAAGGAACTTCAACGAGTTATTTCATGCCACCTCTTGTTTTGCTTAGCTCATATTGACAACTTAGTGCCATCATCAAGGGAATAGAGAACCTCCCTGCCGCCCTATTAAAAGTTATTTATAAAATGTGAGTCTCCGTGCTAATAAGGTCTGATAGTGCTATTCTGATTTATCTCACCTGCCTTTGGGAACCTCTGGAAACCCTCTTCTCTGCCTTTCCCCAGATAACTTCCTGGAAGCATGAAAGTGGGTGCTGTTGATTGCAGCCTGAAGCAAGTCCTTTCTTGGCTGAAAGAGGAAGCTGGCCCCTCTTTCTCCCTCAGGCTACTACTGGGTGCTGCTCTCTGGGTGCCGAGACAAAAATGTGGAAATCTTGATCCAGCAGTGCAACACGAATGGGCTTTGCTGGAAACGCAGTCGCTCAATCATTAGGAATATCTAAGAAGTTAGATGCAAGTCTTCAATTCTTTATTGGTTCATCTTACTAATTTGAACCCCTAACACAGCGTGTTACTTGGCATGTTTGGCAGCCTGGTGTTGATGATACAGAAACTAATAAAATGTGCACCTTTCCTCAGAGTTTATCGTTTAGAAGTTGGCAAGACAGTCAAGCCTGTCATTAGAAAGGAAAGTACAGTGAAATGTCCCAGGGGCTCTGGTGTAGGGCATCATAGGGATACAAAATATGTGTGTGTGCGTGTGTAGCATTAGCTGCTGAGGGAAGGATCCAAAAGCTTTTGTGGAGGTGGTTAATAGGTATTAAATAATGAAGGAGGGGAACAGGTGTGCCTTAGAGACAAGGTGTGCCTCTTCTAGGCAGAGGGAACAGTGTGATTGGTGGTACTGAGGGCAGGAACTGCAAAAAGAAAAAAGTGGCTTAGCAAACTCCCTTCTAAGGAGTGTGGTAAGAGCTAGGCCTGGAGTCTTATGCAGGGGCCAGGGTAGAAGGCCTTGTAGAGCAAACAAAAGCTGGTGTATTTCAAGCTTTTTGGAGGCAATGACCCATTATAGTTAGGTACACATTTTTACCTCACAACCTAGTAGATACATATTATAAATGATAAAATGTCACAAAATAATGCTGTTTGTGTGATGTACTGTCGTATTTTCTATTTTTAAGAAAGAATGACATTTGAGCTCTGGTAAGTTGATTTAACAACCCAGTGATAACAACTGGTAATTCCAAAAACGCTCTTCTTGGCTGTGGGAACCACTAAAGGGTTTAAGGCAGGGTAGTTACATGAAGAGTCAGGGAAGTAGGACAAAAACTTAGTTTTAAAAATCATTGAAATTTTGATTTTGTATGTGAGGCCCTGTGGAAACACTAAGCCGGAGCAATGAACCCTAGCTACCTAGCTAGGTAGGGAAAATGGATGGCTGAACAGTGCCTAGAAAATTCCAGAGTAAGAGGAGAGCAGGGATGATGATGAGTTGTGTGTAGTTGTCTCAGTGGGACTTTTTCAGGATTAGGGCATTTCGTGTGCAGGGGTAAAAATGTAGGAAATGACATGGTAAGTTCTTGATGAGCTGCTCACTCAGATTGGCCATGAAATCATGAGTGTGGGAGTTTAAAAAGGACCTTCTAGCTAGCATACAAATTGCATGGAAATTAAGAGTGAGAACATGTTCCCCCAAGCAAGTAATTAAAGAATATTTTGAGTTGCCAGTAATACTTGACTTATAAGCTGAAAAGTTACTTCACTGTGACTGACGTAGAAATAGAATTTTAAATCTATCGACATGTATTAGGATATCAACCATAAGAGTAGAAGAATTTGCATATTTTGAGAATAGATGTCCCCCCCGTTTATTAAAATATAACTGACATATAACATTGTATTAGTTTAAGGCACACAGCCATGATTCAAAACATGTATAGTGTGAAATGATTACCATAGTAAGTTAACATCCTTCATCTTACATACTTAGAGATTTCTGATGAGAACTTTTATCACAGTAGGTTTGTTTTTTTAATATATTAGTGGAATAATCCCCCCCCATTAAAATTTGAAAGAACTCATTTTTTTGTTTTTAGGGGTTTTTCAAGGTAACATGTATATCAGGCAAGATGACCCTGGCTCTTTTTAAATGTCCTGTTCTCTCTATCTATAACCTATTGTTTCATATAGTAAAGACTTAACTGGTTCCTTG